GAAACGTCAAGCAGCAGTACCGTAGCATCGACCAAGTGGTCGTAAAAACTTATCAAAGATATAAACGCCAGACACGTCTACATAAGACTCTTTATGATACGGTGGGAATTCGTACTTTTAGTGATTGTTTCAGAGCTTTATTTCAGTATTTCTATATATCGTAATTGTCAAAACGATAATTCTGGTCGAGTTTTCTTCATATTAATTGCTATTTATTAATAAAGTGGAAAAGAAAAAGGCTGTATTAATTTAAAAAAGACAGAAAAATCAAAATCAATAAAAGATTACATTTATGACAGGATGCATTTGGAAACTTTAATTTTCTTAACAGCATTGTATAAATGGACTGTTGAAATGCTAATCCCTGCAATTAATACGAAGATACAATACTACGACAGGTAGTGGTCGTCTCAAAAATAGTAATGAGTGTATATAGTAGTAGTTTACTGATAGAAAGAGAAAAATGTTTGTTTCAATGTATATACCACAACGGTATTTTGCTTAGATTGTAAACCATTTGTTGATTTAAAATCACTTTTATTTTTGAATTGAGTATGGATAAAGGGGGGTCTCTATAATATTTTTAGAATTTGAGATTCTAGCTTCCTATATGTAAAACTGGCAAAATGAAAAAAAATAAAAAGTATTAAGTAGTAAATGTTTACTCAAACAATTTTTGTCTCCCTGCGGCAAGTAGCGGAAAGCGAGACATAGGTGTTGCTTTTTCGGCGTTAGCGGCGGCAGCGCAGGATTCGTCAACAATTAAGTTTTCTGCTTAACTAACTTACGATATTTTCTATAAAATTGCATTACTATAAGTACATCTCAGTTTGTGGACCATTTCGAGGCCATGTCCCCTAGTTCATGGTCCAGCGACTTTGAATTAATTATAACATTTTTTTCAAATGTTAGTATTATAATGTTGCTGATAAAAGTGGTTTGTTCTTACTAAAGGGATGCAGAATTGTAAAGAGTACGTAAGTAAGTTTATTGTTTTCTATCATTTTTTGTCTCGCCTGCGACGAAAGTCGCGGAAGTCGAGACATAGGTATTTATTTTCTGGCGGCGTTGGCGGCGGATGCGTCAACAATTTTAAAATTTCGGCTTAAGTTAGTTTGATAGGAATTACTTGTGATATATCACAGATAATTTCTATAAAGTTGAATTACTATCAGTTTGACGACTATTTCGAGGCCCGATTTTGAATTTTAAAATTAGCAATGTTACTGTCCACCAGATTGTTAAATTTTCTGCCGACACGCGAGACATATGTCTGTGTCAACAGTTAATTTATGTCTTTCGACAAGAACGGAACATGTCTATACAAAGTCAGTCTTATTAAAATATAGATCTATCGTAACTTGCTCATATGAGTATAACGAAATCAGAGATCTATATTTTAATTAGATTGATACAAAGTTATTTTTGGCCTCGGATGCCTCCATAATGTACTTTATACTTCTCACCAGTGTAATGTTCAATTTAATTCTGTATTCAGTGTCACTTGTTTACAGAACATTAACATATTGTAAATGTCCTAGATCATATTATGGTTATTTATCTAGTTCCAATAGCACAAAATAGATTTTGACCATAATGAGAAAAGTAAGGGCGTTTGGACACGGCACGAATAAAGCATAAAATCCTACAATGAATCACATGAAACTGACTCACAGAGCTACCGTGTGGTCTTCAATACTGACGAGGAACCATCAACAACCAACGAGATACAGAAAACACAAAAGAAAAGAGATAAAATCTAAGGCTACAGTATATTATTGTAAACTATTGTATGTATTGTCCATAGGGTCCTTTGTTAATCTAAGTTCCCCGCTGGCAGCCATCTTGGATGATTGATTGGCTACAAAGTAACAACACTTGGCCAGCACCTCATAATGAACATTCATGCCATGTTTGGTTTCGTTTCATTCAGTGGTTCTCTAAAAGAAAACATTTGTATGTATTTCCCATGGGGTCCTATGTTAAAATAAGTCCCCGCTGGCGGCCATCTTGGAATATTGATCTCCTACAAAGTTACATCACTTGGTCAGCACCTCATACGGAACATTCATGCCATGTTTTATTTCATTCCATTCAGTGGTTCTCTAAAAGAAGACTTTGTATGAATTACCCATAGGGTTCTATGTTAAACTAAGTCCCTCTCTGGCGGCCATCTTCGATGATGGATCGACTTCAAAGTAGCAACATTTGGTCAGCACCGCATAAGGAACATTCATGCCATGTTTGGTTTCATTCCATTCAGTGGTTCTCTAGAAGTTAAAAATGTAAAAAGTTAACCGTCGACGGACGCCAAGTGATGAGAAAAAGCTCACTTGGCCCTTTGGCAATCATACCACATCTTCTCATTTTTATACTATAGTATTTCCGTACAGATCTTCAAAAATAGCAAAAACTGCAATTTTGAAATATTTTGACAAATCTTGTGTATTCATCAAAATAATTTTTGAGAAGGACATTGTTGAAGAAAACCAAAATAATGTTGGAATTAATGCTATGTATTTTTGTCTTTCGTATACAAAATTGACTTCATTCAGTGCAAAATTTGACAAAATTCGGCAACTTTGTATCAATATGCCTTCAACAGTAACATATATAGCACTGAACAGCATTTTGATTTTATGGTAATATTTGTAATTGTTAAAAAAATATTTTAAGTATCTTATGTAAACTCTTGTATATCCAATTTACAGTATGATTTATAAAATTGAGAATGGAAATGGGAAATATGTCAAAGAGACAACAACCCGGGCAAAGAGCAGATAATAGCCGAAGGCCACCGATGGGTCTTCAACTCAGCGAGAAAATCCCGCACCCGGAGGTGGTCCTCAGCTGGCCCCTAAATAAAAATGTGTACTAGTTCAGTGAAAATGGACGTCATACTAAACTCCAAAACATATAAATGAACTTAAATTAAAAAAACATACAAGACTAACAAAGGCCAGAGGCTCCTGACTTGGGACAGACGCAAAAATGCGGCGGGTTTGAACATGTTTTGTGAGATCTCAACCCTCCCCCTATACCTCTAGCCATTGTAGAATAAAGAAACACACAGCGGTACGCGCAGTAAAACTCAGTTTAAAAAAAGTCCGAGTCCGATGTCAGAATAGGTAACAAAAGAAACTAAGCAAAATGACAATGATACATAAATAAACAAAGGACTACTAGCAGTTACTGACATGCCAGCTCCAGACCTCAATTAAACTGATTGAAAGATTATGTTTCATCATATGAAAATCAAGTACAATCCCTCTCGTTAGGGGTTTAGAATCATACCATCATAAAATATATGAGAAAAACATAACCCGTATCATGCCAACAACTGGTTTTAGAATAAATGTGTTTATTTCCGATGCAAAGACCCTATGAGTGAATCAATATTAATACCAAAATATGCAGTCCTTAATGACTCAGTATCGTAACTATATCCCTTCCGAATAAGTCTGTTTTAAAGGTTTGGTTAGCTTTTGAGGTGAATGCCGACATTTTTGTGCTTTGTAAAGAATATTACCATAAAAGATTGGATGTGAAATACCTGAACGTATAAGATGTCTGCATGTTAATTTATATTTACGAATGATATCCTTGTACCGATGATAAAATTTAGTAAATGTTTTGACTAGTTTGTGATATCGAAAACCCTGGTGTAATAATTTTTCAGTAATATTTCTTTCGTTAAAATCAAATACGTTGTTACATACACGAGCGAATCGAACAAGTTGAGATATATAAACACCATAAGATGGTGACAAGGGAACGTCACCATCTAAAAATGGATAATTAACAATAGGAAATGAAAAATCATCTCTTTTTTCATAAATTTTGGTATTAAGCTTCCCGTTAAAGATATAGATATCAAGATCCAAGAAAGGGCAGTGTTCATTGTTAGTATTAGCTCTATTAAAGGTCAGTTCGGCAGGATAAATCTCTTTAGTGTACATACTGAAGTCGTTATTATTGAGAGCCAATATATCATCTAAATATCTAAAAGTGTTATTAAATTTTTGAATCAGATGTTGTTTCGATGGGTCTTTGCTGATTTTAGTCATAAATTGTAACTCATAACAATACAGAAACAGGTCCGCAATAAGTGGTGTACAGTTAGTCCCCATGGGAATTCCAATAACTTGACGATATACGGAATCTCCATAGCGAAAAAAAATGTTATCTAGTAAAAATTCAAGGGCAGTTATAGTATCAAAGCAGGTCCAATTGACATAGTTCTTTTGTGTGTTGTTACTAAAAAATGAACTAAAAGAGTTTGAACATATATATTCGCATTCTGACTTTTTAAATGCCCATTTAATCAGGTGTGTGATTTTTTTCTTAATGAGATTACGAGGAAAAGTTTGTCAATTTTTAGATTTGACCCTGTCAGTGAAACAAATACAAAAGCAATGGGTGTTTATTTCTATGCCCTAAGAGAAGAAATAATGTGGGATGGATGTACACGAGACAATTGTTCTGTGCTGTACCACTGACCGGAAGGGGATCAACATTCAAAAGTAGGGGGCAAGCTATGTTTTACCCCTCCCCGCCCCCCCCCCCCCCCCCAACTTTTTGACAAACAAAATTTATTGAAAGTACACAAAAAATGAAAATTAAAGAGGACACTAAATTCTAGTCTATAAGTTTATAGAAAAGGGTATCTTTTCTTTTTTCAGAAGTTTATATCCACACTTTTCAGTCTACTCCTACGCCACTCCATACACTGTATGCATACAGTAAGATACCATATTTTTGTTGTTGTTATTAATGACGAAACATATCCACATATTACTGACGGAAGTGTTTATGCAAGGCCTCTGATTTTGCAGGGACTGATCAAGGATTTTAGGTTAGGGGCGCAAACGTTTTTGTTTAGGTAAAATTATCGAAATATTCTTTATTAAGCTGAGACAACTAATGCTTTGCAAATCTTAGGGGGGCGCACGCCCGCCACGGCATCGCCTGAATCCGCCACTGAGATCTATTCTTCCGGGTTAATGAATTCTGTTTTATGTAAATATGGCATATTTATAATATTAAGCAATATGTTCGGATAAGTTGATAACTGCGGATGCAAACATATAAGCAATTGCGTCCAACTGTTAGTTATTTCCTTTTTATAACATTCGAGTACATATCCTGTTTCTTCAATGATTATATGTATATATATTTATTTCCTTTTTACAACATTTGTGTACATATCCGGTCTCTTCTGTGGTTACATTTTTATTTCCTTTTTACAACATTTGTCAATGAGTACATATCTGTTCTCTTCTGTGATAATATTGGCAATCGAGTTCTAACCTTGTCGACAAAATCCGGGTCAATGTCACAATATACAATGGTTTCCAAATGTTCCGTAGTAGATAGAACATCTCCCCAAGGACTAACTACTGTACTGTGTCCCCATGCAACGTATGAAGCTGTTTCATCGCGAGACCCCGACACCAAAGCAACATAGACTTCGTTGTCAACAGCCCTGGCTCTCAGCAAAGGCTCCATATGTGAAGGGCCGGTGGTCCTATTAAATGCCCCTGGGTATACCAGAAATTTACATCCCATTTCACCGTAAATGTGTGCTAGTTCTGGGAATCGTAGATCATAACAGACTCCGATGCCGACTTTACAATATGGAGTATCAAATGTAGTAAAGTCACATCCGGGACTTAGTGAATCTGCTTCTCTAAAGCGAATTTTACCAGGAACATCAATGTCAACCAGATGAATTTTCCTGTGTTTAGTAAGAAGTTCTCCTGACGGACTAAAGACTGGACAAGTATTATATACCTTTCCATTATCAATTTCTGGTATAGAACCCCCAATGATGTAGACATTGTTATCCTTGGCTGCCTGTGCTAAGATATCTGAAGTCGGTCCTGGGATAGACTCAGCATATTTTGGGAAACATGTCGTATCGTAGGGAGAGTTAAAACATTCCGGCAATATGATTAGTTGTGCTCCATTTGTAGCGGCCTTATTAATAAGCGTGACCGCATGCTCAAGGTTTTCTGATTTAACTGCTGTTACAGCCATCTGAACAAGTGCCACCTTAAAAGTCATGTCTGTTCTATAGACTATATGTACTGTTGAGGTTGAAAATGTTCATTGATATTCTGAAAAAAAAAATATGACGTTGATAAGAAGTTGATGAATCGATTATTAACATTCATTTGAGTAGTAAAATGTCATGCATACATATAAGACGATGACATCAATACCAAGCTTTGTACCAAACCGAAAAGCTGAAGGATTTAAGAAAACATTATAGCTCACAAGGTTACAAGGACTCCTTTTTCCTCATTCAAGTCGATTAATCATAGCTTGAGGACTTAATTCTATAAGCTTGGCGGATCGACTAATCATAGCTTGAGGACTTAATTCTATAAGCTTGGTGGATCAAATAAGTAAAAAGCATCAATTGTCTGATTGGGTTACAGATCGAATTCTGAACATCTCGAAGTTTAGGCGAAGAAGCTACCACGAAACGTTCGAATCGGTTTAGATAAATTTTGACGAAATACTTGTGAATAGTTATACATTTCAACAAAAAGAATTAGACTTTAAATGTGTTCAACCTGAAAAAGTATAGTTATCTTGTTATTCAATTAGCTGAGCATAGCAATATAAAAAGCAGTAATCCATGGCTGTCATTCGGTATATAGGAGATCGTGAAAGAATAAGTAACGGAGGCCAAGTATTGCGAATGGATCGTGAAAGATCCGGTATGGGATCGTGAAAGAATAAGTAACGGTGACCAAGTATTGCGACAGGATCGTGAAAGATCCGGTATGGGATCGTGAAAGAAATCTTATCGAGGAGAAACATAAAAGGTCAACAGACAATCTAATTTATTGAATATAGGGGAAAATTTTCCACAAAAAGAATTGTTTGTCAAAATTGTTCAACATTATGATCAGTACCTGAGAATATCCGAGTTTAAAAGATCACCGTTTTAACAAAACTTCAAAAGGCAGATTGCTCTTTCAATGACAAGAAAAATGTAAACAAACATGATTTTTTTTCCAGTTTATAAATGACTTACTATTCTTTGAATAATATCGTTCTATATCTAAGTCTCAAATGGCTCTCAAAATTATTTTGTAGTAGCCTGATAAAAAAGGGGGGCAAAATTGGAATATTTATGATCGTGAAAGATAGGATACCACTTTTTTGTGACCGTGAAAAGGATCGTGAAAGATCCGGTGTCGCTTATTTGTCATTTCACAAATCATTGAAAGAGTTAAATTGTTTTGTATTTAGATGAAAATTTATTATGTAATTGGTACATCAAAAGACTGAACATCCCTGAATTCTTCCGGTTCACTTTCGTTGGAGAATAAAACTGTTAGGTTATGATGGTTCAATGCCATTTGGCCTAGTTTATAAAAAGACCACGCCGATTATTCCGTGTTGCCCTATAGCAATTACTGTCCGTCCGTCAACATGGGAGGGGGGGGGGGGGGGTAAAAACTTAATTCAGAACTAACAAAGTATGATTTACTTACTTATGTGCTAGGATTTAAACAACAATTTATATCGAGGTATAATATTGAATTCCAGATTGATGTCCAGTGTAAAATGTTCGATAATTAATACTGCGAAAATAATTTTGAAACGGGGAAAACCTAACGCCCTCTATGCTACATGTGACGAAAACACCCAGGATATATTAATTTCATTCTAATGCAATGTCCGTTTAAACAAATGAAATTACAATTTCATTTTACCGTACTATCTGACACACCAAAGATTTAATTTCAAATACATCATGATTTATTGGAGTGTGACCATTTTATTTCCAAAACGTGTTTTTTCTTTAATGATTCGAATAAGGTTATGTGTCGATTTTTTCTTTTCTTAAAAAGTACTGCATTTTTTTTCTTATTTCACAGTATTAAGGAAGTTAAATCATTTTGACAGTCCTATTTCTTTTTTCTTATTTTTTTTCGCCTTTTGTTGATATAACGGATATTTTCACAGATTTTGCAGTTGAATTGTATTAAATTACTTTCATGATCCATCGCAATGCTTGACCGCCGTTACTTAATATTTCACGATAATTTTTCTCGATATACCGAATGCATAACAATAACATGGTATATGGTCAAAGGTCAAGGTCAACCTTAAAATTTGACCTTGTAGCATTTTCAAGGTTAATAGTAGATTTTAATAGTGTTTTATCATGTGACTTTCTGCAAGACATTTAAAATCAGCTTTTGACAAAACTCAGTAAAGATTATCTAAATTCCATCGAATGATAATTTTAATAGCACTTACATGATGATATATCTGCTCTAAATTATCAAGAATCCTCTAATCATACTACAGAAATTAACCCAAGGAAACTTACTTTTAATAGCTATAACATTGACAACAATAATAGCCCTTCTCTAGATTTCGATATTTCAGTTTCACACGGGGAAAAAATATACAACAAAATGGACGCTTTTTCGTTCCCTATTATTACTTTTCCTTTTTTGGACGGTTATGTTCCTTTGGCCCTTTTTTCCAACTCGTTCTCCATGCTCATGTCTGTAGTGACGTTTTATGTTTAAATTAACTTTATCTATGTATAACTGATTAATTTCTGTTTTGCGGTTGTAAATCCGATGCTATGCCATATAGATGTATAACCATTTTATCTATTCCGTGTAAAAATTTTGCTGACATATTAAATAGGCGCTTAAATCAATGGCTTAATGAAAATGAAATTTTTCTTGATGAACGGAACAGAATTCGAAAAGGTAGAAACTGTGCAGATCATATATATATATTATTGTTAAAAGCAGAACATTTTCAAAAGAGGCTACATTTGAATGTTTTGTTGAAACAAAGAAAGCATTTGATACTGTTAATAGAAACTGATCACTATTCATATTTATAAAATATTGGTATTAGTGGTAACTTTGCAATTTTATTTCTTCTTTATACAATAATGTCAATTGTGTTATTCTTTTTTCCTGTAGCACTTGGTGTAAAACAATGCTGTGTTTTATCACCGACTTTATTTTCTATCTATGTAAATGATTTAGTCTCAGATATTAAAGAAGCTATAGATGACATAATGGTTTCGATGTAATTGTATGCTGAGGACATTGCACTGGTATAGCACCTGATGAAGAGAAACTGCAAAAACAGTTGTATAGCATTTTAGAACTGTATTTTTCAGTTTAAATGTGGTTGTGTTGCTTCTTGTTACAAATATCTTTATATATAAAAGTGTAATTTTGAATGAATTTTTCGGATTATTCAATAACTGTAAACTAAAATGTTTAAATCAGCTAATAGAACACTTGGTGCTATTAAAGCAATATTTTGTAAAATTGGTGGTATGAATTTTGATGTATTTACAAAACTTTATGACTCTTTAGTAAAATCCGTTTTGACTTATGTTACTGATGTATAGGGAATTATTATACATAATTGTTTAGCTGCCAGATGTGATATGGTTTTGTTTTCATGTGATGCTCTATTAAAGGTGAAGTTTTCAAATTATGAAATTGTCTTAAATGTGACAATATCAGCATAATAGGCAAAAAGGTTCATACCTGGGCGATTTTAAGAGAGTCGTTATTGGATTATAGAGTGTTAAAGTTAAGTCGTAAATATAAGTTGATTGGAAAAGTAGGTGTTATTTATGAATTTCTATACAAAATGTTGAAACAAAATCTTGGTATCAGGAATTATGGAATGACAACAATGTCAATAGTAATAAATAAAGATTTTATAGATTGCTTTAACTGGTATTGGACGGAGCCTTATGTAAAAATTGTTAAAAATAGATGCCACCGACGTGTTTTGTCACCATTCAAATCTGGTTCATCATACCTTAAAGTTGAAAAAGGTCGATATGCAACACAACCACAACCTCTACAAGATCGTTTGTCACGGTATTTTTTGTGATAATACTTCGCAGAGACCTAATTGAGGACGAGAAACACTTTCTGTTTAATTGTTGGTCATTGTTGTTTTTACTCTGATATCAGACTGGAATTATATGCAAAAGCCTGTCTTTTAAATGCTGAATATTATTATTTTTGTGACATAGAACAACTTAGTTATCTTATGTGTAATGAGAATATAGTTCAGTCCTCTTCTAGCTAGTTTCCTTTAAGGGGAAACTCCGCAAAAAATGATGTTATGTTCATTATGTATAAAAAAAGCACAAATTCATAAATATTAACGTTTTATTCTCCTAGATAAGATATTACCATCGATTTTAAATTGAGAATATCAATTCTCTATATACGTAGCCATCTTGACGGCTTCCCAGGTCAAAAACCACGTGACATTTATCATTTATAAACCACAAAGTACCAAAACGAGCAGGGACTAACGTAGTCGTAATTCAGAGTCAGAATCTTTTGTCAATCGTACGGTTGTTTTACCCGATAAGATAATGACAAACGCATACACAGTTTCACGGATACTAAAAAAAGAATTATACCAGACATGCTTGTGCTACCTATCAGCAAACTTTTTGTTAGCTAACATGATACGGAACAATGTTTAAAAAAGGTTTTAGAGTCGGAAAAGTCTCCCGATTGAAATTTTTAAAATAACTATGGTCTGTCATTTTTAAACTTTTTTTTTACTAAGTTTATGAAACAAGTAAATATAGGGGAATTAGTTTAGAGTGATCACTTTTATGGATTCTCTCATGATTTAAAGCGGAGTTCCGGGTAAAATTGTTTTCAAAAATCTAATTTGTTAAAAAAGAATTTATGTAATAAATTTATTAAATTCGGTCCTTACCTAATTTGATCATCAGCGTGGCTAAAGGAATTATTGCCAGAGGTATTGTGAGGTGACGTAAAGATCACTTTACACGGCCGGTAATTTGGAACTTTCCATTTAACAAGAGTGCACACGCTGAAATGTCTCGCCTTCTTTACTAACCATTAATTTTATGTTGATAGTCCTACATATAAAGCTTTACTACAAGTAACACATAAACTTAACATGATCTAAGAAAATGAGGTCAAGGGCAGATAAACCAAACGAGAAATACATGTACACCTTACAATCATTCAATAAACTAAACAGTTTTAACCAAGAAAACTTAACATTGACCAATGAACCATGAAAATGGGGTCAAGGTCAGATGAACCAT